TAAGACTAGACTTACTGGTCTGAAAGAGACTGATGGAAGGAACCCTGAGACTATGGCTCTTGGTCACTCTTTGGTCAGGTCTGAAACTGCACTCAATCTTGTGGCTCAATTTTTTGTCAAACAATATACACGTATATAGGAGGAACAACACTAGTGAGGTGTGCATACCACAGAATGGTCACCCATACAAGATCAAAAGGGCAGCATTTATCCAAGGAAAAAGTTCAGAAGGGTTAGAAAAAAAGAAGCAAGAAACACAAGGAGAAAGTAGGATATATGATTTTATATTATGAGGGTTGGAATAAATTAAATGAAGTGTATGATTTGTTGAACATAACACTGATCTACTCTGTAAACCATCACTCAGTGTAAAGACACACAAAAAAGGGGGGGGAGGGGCACCTATATACTTTAATACTATTCCAGAAAAAATAAAATCATTATATGACAACTTAAAGAAAATGGAAGGTTAAGAATCTAAAGTTTAAGGATTTAATGTCAACAAAGGACATTATGGTTTGATAATTTTAGGCAAGAGCTTTACCTTTAAACAATGTCAAGATACATGGAGAAGCAGGTAGCTCTGGTAATATGTTGTTGTTGTTGTTGTTAATTGCTGTCAAGTCGGTTCCGACCCATAGCGACCCCATACAGGGTTTCCGAGGGTGTAAATCCTTATGGGAGTAGAAGGCCTCATCTTTCTTCCACGGAGCGGTTGGTAGTTTCGAACCGCTGACCTTAAGGTTTGCAGCCCGATTCGTAACCGCTACGCTACCAGAGCTCCTTAGCTCTGGTAGTATAGTGGTTATGAATTGGGCTGCAAACCTCAAGGTCAGCAGTTAGAAACTACCAGCTCTTCTGCATGAGAAAAATGAAGCTTTTTGTTCCCATAAACATTTACAGCCTTAGAAACCTATACAAGGTTGCTGTGAGTCAGAATTGACTCCATGGCACATAACCAACCAACCAACAAGAGAAGCAGCTTCTGCTGACCAAGAGTCAGCAAACAATTTCCCCGACACCATTAAGAAAATTATGAGGATAAAGGACATCAGCCTGAACAAGTGTTTAATATAGAAAAAAGTGAAAGTATCGTGTTCTAAACAACAACAACCAAAAAACATGCCAAAAAAGGACATTCATGTGCTAATCAATTGCTTGTGTTAGCAGTAAGGCTTCCCATCAATATCAGGCTATTATTAGTAGTTATATTTGTGGAGAGTGAAATTTATATTTAATTTTCAACTGCATGGGGGACTAGGGATCGGTGTTCCCAACCCCTGCATTGTTCAAAGGTCAACTGTACCTTTTTTTAAAATTTGTTCTAGTATATGTCTATTTCATCATTGCAAAACAAAGTATTTCCTTCAACATTATGCTCCTCTAAGATGAGTGGGACTACACACTCAAATATATATGGAATCCTGGTGCGATGCTGTAGGACAATGCACTGGACAGCAAGGTTGGCTTGAATGCAAGGTCAGCAGTTCAAACTCACCAACCACTCCTCAGAAACCCTATACAGCGTCACCATGAGTCAGAACCAACTCGACAGCACTTAATAATAACAACAACAAAGTGAGTGGGTCTACATACTCAAATATATATAGGTTTGACAAAGAATATTTCTATATACTACACACACACACACATACACATATGGCTGTTGTTGTTAAGTACCATGGAGTCGGTTCTGACTCATAGTGACCCTGCCCAGAGTCTCTGAGGCAGAAAGCCTCATCTTTCTCTGCAGTACAGCTGGTAGACTATATATATAGTGGTGGTGGTATGCTGTGGGGTCGGTTCCAACTCACAGTGACCCTCCATAGGGTTTCTGAGGCTGTAAATCTTTACAGGAACAGAAAGCCTCATCTTCCTCCTGCTCCCCTGACAGAACCACCAGTAGTTTCAAACTGCTGACCTTGAGGTTAGCAGTCCAACTCATCTACTACACTACCAGAGCTCCTTATATATGTATACACACATATATACATGTATATACTACAAGTATATACGTATATATTACAAATATATCCATGAATATAGTAGAGTGTTGGGGGCAAAGTTATAAAAAACTTCTAACTATAACCAAACACCTTGAGGGAGTGACTCAAGGGGACACTAAAGTCAATTGGCATAACACAGAACACAAAGATGATGATCTACATACTATTTGGTTGAGTAGCAACTGGGGTCTTAGATGAGCAGTCATCTAAGTTATGACTATTAGTCTCTCCCTATCCAAAGCTATTTTCACAATAGCCTCATATGGATGCGAAAGCTGGACAGTGAATAAGGAAGATCGTAGAAGAATTGATGCCTTTGAGTTGTGGTGTAGGAGGAGAATACTAAAAGTGCATGGACTGCCAAAAGAACCAATAGATCTGTTTTGGAAGAAGTGCAGCCAGAGTGCTCCTTGGAGGCCAAGATGGCTAAACTTCGTCTCTCATACTTTGGACATGTTGTCAGGAGGGAAGAGTCGCTGGAGAAGGATGTCATGCTGGGTAAGGTGGAGGGTCAGAGAAAAAGGGGAAAACCCCTAATGAGATGGATCGGCCAGGTGGCATCATTGATGGACTCAAGTGTGGCAGCGGTAGTGAGATTGGCCCAGGATCGGACATTGTTTCGTTCTGCTGTACATGGGGTCGCTATGAGTCGGTTCCGACTCGATGGCACCTGACAACAACAACAATCCAAAGCAAACAAGAGTGAGGCAAATCAAAGACTTACGGAAGCAAATAATCCAAAAGACTCCCGGACTACATGAACATGAGCCTACTTGGCTCTGAAACCATAAGAACTAAATGGTGTCTGGTTATTATTGTTGATCACTCAGAAAGGTCCTGGATAGGGTGAGAAAGCAATGTGGAACAAAACCCAAAATAATAAATAAAAGACAAGGCTTACTGGTCTGATAGAGACTGGTAGAATCCCAGAGACTACAGCCCTTAGACACCCTTCAAGTATGGATTTAAGTTATTCCTATGGTTCAACTTTCAGCCACACAATAGACAGGCCTTTAAGGGGAACAGTAACACCAGAGAGGTACATACATACATGTTCTTTAGAACAATAAGCCATAGGAGAGCAAAAGGACAGCATATTCCCAGGAATAAATTTCAGAATGAGAGAAGGATGAACAGAAACAGAAATAAAGAAGGAAATAGAAAGACTGTTGTTACACTGTCGGGATTACAGTCCACATTACAAAACAAAATGTGTATGAATTGTTGAATGGAAAACCAATTTACTCTGTAAACTTTCACCTACATCACAATAAAAAGTTAAATACATATATGTATGCATTATGCATGGGGGACTGGGGATCAGTGTCCTTAACCACTGCATTGTTCAAGGATCAACTGTACCTTCTTTATGAAGCACTCATACCCATGATTTAACTTGTCCTGTCAATTCTGATTCATAGTGACCTACAGGACAGATAAGAAGTGCCCCAAAGGATTTCCAAGGCTGTAATTCTTTATGGAAGCTGACTGTCATCTCTTTCTCCCATTGAGTAGATGGTGGGTTTGAACTGCAAACTTTTAAATTAGCAGCCAACTGCTTAACCACTATGCTACTAGGGCTCCTATAATCTAATTAGTACTTCACATAAGCCCTGTGAAGTAAACTCACAGAAGGTAATAGATACCATTATTTTAATTATAAATACAGAAAACAATATTCAAAGAGGTTAAATGATTTACCCATTTCTTGCAAAGCCACTATATGACAAAGCAGGAATAAATTTCAAGAGCCATAGATTCTAAATACTGTATTCTTTCCACTACACTACATTGATTGTTGTTAGCTGCTATCAACTTGACCTTTGACTCATTATGACCCTGTGTGGAATGGGGTCAGATTCTGATGCATAGGGTTTTCACTGACTGATTTTTTAGCATTAGATCACTAGGTCTTTCTTCCTAGTATGTCTTAGTCTGGAAGCTCTGATGAAGCCTGCTCAGCATCATAGTATCAGGCAAGGCTCCAATGAGAGATACAAGGTGACCGCAGTTGAGGTGCATTATCCATATACTGAACCTGGATTTTGTGCATGGAAGACAAGAATGATACCATTGACTTACTACCGCACACCAAATTATAGTGATTTCTAGTACTGAAACCCACAAACCCCAAAAGCTGTCCAGTCTACACATACACAAAAATTGTGATCTGACAGAATATACAAGGTACAAAAGAGAAGCTGTGAGAAGGAGGGGAAAAGAATCCCAATTCTTTTTGTTTCACCAATCACCTAAGTAGCTCTGGTAGTTTAGTTGATTATGATTCGGGCTCCTAACCTTAAGGTCAACAATTTGAAACCACCAGTCATTCTGCAGGAGAAAGATGAGGCTTTCTGTACTTGTAAAGATTTAATCTCTGAAACCTTACGTAGGGTCACTGTGAGTGGGAACCAACTCCAAGGCACACCACCCCCACACAAAGGTTAATGAGTAATGAGAAAAACAACTCTACCTCTGATAGTCTTCCAAAGCCATTCCTTCCTTGAACGGTGGATAGAAAGGAACTGAGTAAGGACATTTTTTATGTAAATGAGCAAGAATGAGGTCCCCTACTCTAGGGTGAAGCTCCCAAATACCGGATGCCACAACCGCAATGGGGAATGCTGCTTCATGATGAGAGGCCACCTCCTCCTCTCCTTGTTTCTGGAAATAGAGATGGGTACAATTTTAAATCAACATCTGAAAAAGTTTTAAATATACAACAACCTTTTCCTCCCATGCCTTTGGCAACAAAGTCTCTCACCACAAATTTCTCTGCCAGTTTGTACTGGACAAAGTCCAGTCCCTGTGGGTTAAGCATGACAGACACAGAGTGCCCAGCAGACTGAACAGGTTTTCCAGAGAGCAAACTGTGGATCTTGTCGAAAATCTCTTTCAGCTTTGAGCCTGGATATGAGAGCAATAGAGACAAAGTCATAAAAGATAAAAAACAGATTAATCTCATTTAAAAAAAAAAGTTTTATTGTTACTTGAGTGAAGATTTAGAGACAAAATCATCTACTTTGCATTCAACAATTAATCTCATTTTTATCATTATAATAACAAGTCATCTATATAAATCCAGCTATCCAGCCCTACAGAAATTCAGAATCTAAAGACAAAGCATAAATGAAGAAAAATAATAGGACAATCAAATGTATGTTGTGGCGCAGACCCCCTTCCAAGACTAAGACTCAACGGAAATGCACGCTCTGATTGGTGACCACACATATCACCGATGGGGGGAAGTCGGTAAAAGCAGCAACGAAGCGGCAAGCTAAGCCCTACAATGCTCAGTGGACTTCTGTGGACCCAGCTGGGGAACCAGTTGGCAAGCAGTGTGAAGAGACCTGGGGACTCTTGGGCCCAGAGTCAGTGGCGTGGCCACGGAGGACTCGAGAGGAGAGTGGAGCTACCGGCTAACGGGAAGAGAGGACATATGCACAGGAGCGCCCACACTTGCAAATGATACCCACGTGACCTGGACCAGATGACTGGATGATTGGAGCTCAACCAGGAGAGGAAAGAAGAGGGGGGCGGAAAAAAAAAGAGTGAGCTAATACAGTCTGATGAACTTGACCTATACCTATGGAGTAGCGACTCAAAAGAGGGAACAAATCCTCACAGCAACAAACAATCACACACACCCACACACAGAGTCGACAGCGAAGGGCAGCTTGGACATTGGGTACTCAAATTGGGACGGGGGGGACTACAAAGGCAAGAAGTGACTGGCTTACAAGCTTTCAAGAGGGAACCTAGTGCTAGGGAGCATGGCAGAAGGCAGACTCTCCAGTAGGTACTATTTAATCTGTCTGGGCGGAGCTGATGAAAGGAGATACAGATGGGTAACTCGTGATACTGTAGTGAATAATGCTTATCAGGACGGACTATGAGGGTTGGAAATGCAAAGGTAGAAGTTTTGTAACAAGGAAGGGAGTGATTAAATCTCCAGGATAGGAGTGGAGGCCTCTGGGATCATCAACGGAGAAGAGCCGAGAGTGGGACCCTACCCAGAGAAACAGAGATGCCTGAGATGGAGGCAGAGATGATGACGCAGAGTGAGGAAGCGACTGGGGACTTTGGACCCAGAGCAGCAAAGTGACTATGGGCTGAAAACTGGCGGGAGGAGGGGGAAGTGTAGGGGGTGAGTTTCTGGGATATACCCTTTGGGTGGTTGATGATGCATGGAGGGGATTGGAACCATGGCAGTGAGATGATATACGATGGAATGAATGTAAAACTAAAGTTCCCCCATGTAAACTATCATATAATTCACAATAAAACATTAAAAAAAAAAAAGTATGTTGTGGGAGTGCTAAAGAACCTAAGTCATGGTATTATTCCAAAGGCATTTACATCCTATTTGGAAATAAATTAATTCTGAAACTGACAAAGAAAACAGATAAACAATATAGAAATAAATACTGTGTGTATAGATCCCAAAGGATGTGGGTGATATTCCTACTAGAGTAATCTGCCTCTCTAGAAGAAATCTTTGAAAGGATCTTCCCATCTCACAATGATCCGCACCACCACCACCACCACCCCCCGCCTCCACCTGTCTGTCTCTATCCTCAGAGATACAAGAAGGCGTTCCTAATAAGTATATTTACATTACAAGGTACTCTATGTCCTGTTCCCCCACCAGCTACAGTTAGAGGGTCAAATCCTGAAAATGGCTGGCTGGCCACGCAATATGTATACTCATAGGCAATGGGCAGTCACCTTGCACCTGCTACAATACCCAAGGAAGAACCGTATATAAAATAAGAATGGAAATGTACAGAGGGAAGATGAGATGAGAGAGAAAAAGAGTCCTAAAGTTTCTAGCTCCTGAGACCTAACCCATCCATACCAATAGGTTCTATGAAGTACATAAGATTTTTATTTTTTATAAGCAAATCTGAATTAATTTCTAACATCTGCAATCAAATTAATATAGTATCTTCAGTTTAGAAAGACCTTCTCAATCTTTAAATTCTTAAGAAATGTCAAATATCCAATCTAAATCACTAATTCAATTCCACTTAAAAACAAACAAATAAATCAACCACATTTCTTAAGAAGTAGAAAAAGCAGAAGGAACCAAAAACTAAACAATGAGATATGACAGAAATTTCAAGAAAGCTAACAATCCCAAAAAACTGAAACAGAAATCCAAACCTTACCGAAGTGTTAAAATATGCACATTTCCATAAAACTTTACATCATATTCCAGCTAAGTCACACTCTATTACTACTTTACAGGTCTCAAAAGACTTTACTGACTGAATCTCTGACTTCCAAACCCAGTCCCTCTCTCTACTTGTCTCCAGTTAGGAGAGTTAGCTCCTAACCCTCCCACTTCCCAGCTGTCACACCAGCAACATAGTCTTAATTAAATTCTTCAAATCTATCTGCTCGTGGACATCCACGTTTCTTAAAGAGATAGGAAACATGTCATCTTTAACTCTCATTCATTCAACATTTACTAAGCAGTGACTCTACACCATGTTCTACTTCTGATTGGACTGTAAGGTCTAATGATGTAAACAAAGGGGCATATTTTTTAAATATATAAAAAATTAAGAACAGCAAAACTAGAGACTAATTAATTAGATGTGGAAAATGAAACACAGGAAACAGTCACAGGGAGGCTTCCACTAAGGTGGTGCCTTTTTCTCCAGAAAACAGAGAAAAAGCAGGCATAAGGAAGATGGTGAGTTCATGTTTGGACATGTTAAAGTTGAGGTTATCTGAGAAACATCTAGGCAGAGGTATCTTTGAGATAGCTCAGAGAAGAGGGATGAACCAGAGATAGATTTGGGAATTTAACATACATACAGGTAATATCTGACAATATAGGGCTAGGTAGAATGAAAGTAACTGAGGGCTAAGATCAGGTCCCTACAATTAAGGTGCAAGTAAGAGATTGAGATAGTCATGAAAGAGAAAGCAGAGTCAAGAGAGGTGGGAGGAGAACCTGGAAAGTAGTGCTGCTATGAAAACCAAAGGAGTTGAAGACTTTCAAAAAGAATGAAATAATCACTACCACATTCAACAGACCCCCATGGACCTGGGTGGAGACCTGGATGGCCAGCAGTACGGCAAGACCCAGGGACTCCTGGGCCCAGAGACAGTGACATGGCCACAGAGGACTAGAATGGAGAGTGAAGTGTCCAGCTGATATGAAGTGAGGGGAGATGAACAAAAACACTCATAGTTGCAGATAGTACCCAGATGACCTGGCTTCAATGGCTGGATGATCAGAACTTGACTAGAAGAAGAAAAAAGGGTGGGGGAGTGGGGGAGTAACCTGCTACAATTTGATGGACTTTACCTATACTTATGGATGTAGTAGCTCAAAAAAGGGAACAAATCTTTACAGCGACGATCGCTCCCACCCCCTTGGTACACAAGGTTGACAGGGATGGGCAACATAGACATTGGCTACCCAAGATGGGTATGTGTGGGGGGTTCCCTATAAAGACAACAAGTGACCGGCTTACAAGCTTTTAAGAGGGAGCCTAGTTCCAGACGGGGCAGGAGAAGGTAGAATCACCACTGAATGATTTCCAATTTGTTGTGACCAGGCTGGCGAAAGGAAATGGAGATAATACTCTTGTGATATAATAGTGAATAATTGCCATCAAGACTGACTGTGAAGCTAGGAAAAATAGAGGTAGATGTATTTTGACAAAAGGAGGAGAGTGACTGATTTTGCAGGCCAGGAGCGGAGGTCCCTGGGAGCATCAAGTGAGAAGAATGGAGAGCGGGACCCTACCCAGAGAGGCAGTGACACCAGGGATGGAGACAGAGATGATGACGTGGACAGATGGAGTGGTTGAGGACACTGGACTCAGGAAGGGAGAAGGACTGTGTGATGTACCCTTTGGTTATTTGATGATGTATGGAGGGGACTGTAATTATTGCAATGAAATTAAATACGATACGTTGAGTGTAGAGCTGATATTCTCCCATGTAAACCTCACAATAAAAATTTAAAAATGAATGAAATAATCAACAGTGTCAAATGCACTATGATTGAGATTAGAAAAGAGTCAGAATCTATAAAATCAAGAGAAAAGTATTTTAAGATGTGAGTGACTTGTTTAAAGGTTAAGAGAAAAGAGTCTGTAAAAGAGAGTAATTGCAATATACAGGAAAGAAAGGTGATAAATGATGAAGCAAAATCTTGCCAGAGATGGAAAGGGATGAAATCAAGGGCAGAGGCAGAAAGATAAGCGTGAGTAGGAAGGCCACCTCATCTGTTGAAACATTTAACTAGAAGGTTAAGCATGGTGTGAAAATACCACTGTGTATATGTGAAAGGGACAGGCATCTGACATTCTCACACTTAACACCTTGATTTTCCTGGTGAAGGAGGAGTCAAAGTTGTCTGATGTCAACTGAGGAACCAGAACAAGCTTGAGGATAGTATTAAAGGTTTGGAATGGCTATCAATCTCTCCCTTGTACTGTTCCTATCAAACAACATTGCACTTCAAATTCCAGAAAGTTATACGTTTGTTTGTTTATACCTTGCCCTGTTACAGAAAGAATTTTAGGCAGCAAAGAGATATGTAAAATTTGTCACTTAACTTTACAAGAGCAGGAATTGCAACTTTATTACATTTTTAAGGCAACAACAAATGCAAGTTCAGTAGAGGACTCAGGACCTATGATAATTCAGAGCAACTCCCAAGTTACACACATTTGCCTGGCCACTTGGTAATATAATATAGTCTTGTTTTGAGGCTGCCAAGTCTGGAGCTCCAAAAAAAAAAAAAAAAAATCAACCTCTGAGTCTAAAGAAAAAGGGAGAGAAGGATCTTTCCCTTGTTTGATTTTCACTCAGTATCTCTCTTGTGCGAAAAAATAAATGTCTTAAAGTATTAGCAGGAGTCCTGGTGTGGTGCTGTGGGTTAATGCGCCAGACTGCAAAGCCGTTTGAACTGCAAGGTTGGTGGTTCAAGCTCACCAGCTGCTACTCAAAAACCCTATACAGGGTCGCTATGTGTCGGAACTGATTCGACAGCACTTAACAACAACCATCAAAGTATTAGCAAGGCAGGCTTCAAGTATGGAAAAGTAATGTAAAACAAAAGCAAAGAATATAAGTCACATCCTAGGTTTCCTCAGTTATGTTGACAGTCTTAATTTTGAACTTCAAAATGGTGGTGGTGGAGTGCCATGGACGGTTCTGACTCATAGCAAACCTGGGTTTCTGAGACCGTAAATCTTTACAGGAGCAGAAAGCCTCATCTTTCTCCCACGGAATGGCTAGCAGTTTCGAACTGCTGACCTAGAGGTTAGCAGCTTGATTCGTAACCACTATGCTACCAGAGCATATACATCTTAATAAAAGTGAATCACCAATGTGAAGGTTGGAAATGTAAAGGCAGACATTTTATAGCAAGGAGGGGAGTGATTAACTTTTCAGTCTAGAAGCGGAGGTCCCTACCCAGAAAGCAGTAATGCCTGAAATGGAGCCAGAGATGATGACGTGGAGCGATGGAGCAGCTGGAGACTTTAGATCCAGAGAGGAAGAGCGACTGTGTGCTGAAGACCTGAGGGGTACAGGGAACAGGACTGCAAGGTATACCCTTTGGTTGGCTGATGATGCATGGAGGGGATTGTAACCATGGCAATGAGACGATATATGATAGAATGAATGTAAAATTAATGTTCTCCCATGTAAACTATCACATAATTCACAATAAAACATTTAAGAAAAAAAAAAAGTGAATCACCACACATTTATTATCTTCTTTGTGTTCAAGAGGAAACAAAAAGAGAGTAAAACAGGATGCATATATGTATACATGCCTGTTCCAATTATTAACATTTGTTCAAGCCTATTATTTATAGGAAGCTTACAAATAAATAAATCTAGACTCTTAAAAATAAAATAAAGGATGTTCATAATTCTTCTAACCAACCTGCAATGGTGGAGATTTGGCTCACTGGGATGGTGGCAGCCTTCTGGAGGTCCATCTTTATTTTTTTGGTCTACAAGAAGAGAACAGAGAGAAGACAGATAATGCTTTAAAGAGATGAGCAAATGTCACTAAGGATACGGAATGTGACACACTAGATACATCCCTTTGGGATGGAGGCTGTGAAGAGCATATTTGGGCCCCCCAAGTCCCCAATGTACAATTCTTCCCTACCTGAGTGTCCTTGCTGCTGGTCAGTCCCTCAAAAGCCAACACACACTGACTGGAAGCATCCTGTAGTTGCTGGTACCATTGCATTGTACTGTCTTGTACCTTCACTTGGAGGCCTAAGGAATAAAAGAAAGGCTTTCGTAATAGGTAGTATTTACCAAACACTTAATATGGTCCAGGCACTGTTCTAATCATTTCTATATATGTATTAACTGCTTTAATTATCACAGTAACACTACTTTATTATTATTATCTTTATTTTGTAGCTGTGAAAACAGGCACAAAAAGATTAAGTAATTTGTCCAAGATCACATGGCCAGTAAGTGGTGATGGTGGTGTTGTGTGCCACCAAGTCAGTACCAACTCATAGCGTAAACAACTGTATAGGGTTAACAAAGCTGTAAATCTTTAAGGGAGCAGAGCCTCACCTTTGTCCTGTGGAGTTACTGGTAGATATGAACTACTTACCTTGTAGTTAGCAGTCCAGTTTATAATCCACTATACTACCAGGACTCCTGGCCAGTAAATAGAATAAATCCCCATTGATTTGAATCCAGGGCCAGTATTTTCAGCCACTATGTCATACTGGTTCTCAAAAGTATTAAATAAACGAACATACTGAGGGGGTTTCAAAAGGTTCATGGAAAAACTCCATTATCCTTTAACTCCACTTTTCCATGAACTTTTTTTTTCTTTGAATTGAATTTACAAACTTTTAAAACCTTTTTTTTTTTTTTTCCCCTATTTGCTTAAAACATTCAGCAGCAGCAACACTTAAAACAATACATCCTACTAGGCTTATACAGAATTTCAAGTCCTCATAAAACTTGTTGTAATTTGAAGTCAAGTTCCCTATCAAGTAAAACTAAATGTGTAATAATTTATGTAAAGGTCTTGGTTGATTAACTGTCCTATAGTTTAATACAATATTCAAAATGCATTCTTATTTCCTTTACCATCCTAAAACATACATTGATTTAAAGGGCCACAACCACATGACATCAAAACCCACCTTCGTTCTGTTTCCCTCCTGGGTCCTGGCTGAGAGCTGTAGACTCTTTGTGGGCCTCTGGCCTCTGCTGCGCCTGTGACTCTTGCTGTTTTCCCTGGGCCTCTTCTTCATCCTGCCTCCGTTTGTCTTCATATGCTCTGGTGACCTCTTGCTGCAGGTTCGTAAAGAGATTCCGCATTTCCTGCAAAGCTCGCTCAGCCATAGCTTGGTCCTCTGCTGTAGGCAAGTCATTCTGCCAGAGTGACAGAGGCAGAGTTTAGTGGTCATTCCCTATGCACTCTCATAGGGCTAAATCACACAAATGTCAATAAACACATTATACACACACACACACAACTAGCATTGTAGATTTTAACAGCTGTATTATGAGCTACTAAAGGAGCCTCAGTGGCATAGATGGTTATAGCAAACCCTATTGTATAGGGTTATCAGTAAGAACTGATTTGACGGCATTATGAGCCACTATGTGGATACTCCAAAAACAATTTAAATAACCCCTTACAATGGGTTTTCCAATTTTTTTTTGCTATTTTAACTCTGATATGAATGTTGTTGTTGTGTGACATGGAGTTGGTTCTGACTCATAGCAACCCTGCACAGGATTTCTAAATCTTTATGGGAGCTGAAAGCCTCATCTTTTACCCACAGAACAGTTGGTAGTTTTGAACTGCTGACTGTGAGATTAGTAACCTGATTCATAACCACTATGCTACCAGAGCTCCTTCTGATATGAATAGCTTTGTGTGTGTGTGTGTGTGTGTACACACACACACACACATATATATATATATATTAATCTATTGGTTTATTTCCTTAGGATAAATTCCTGGAATTGTACCAGCAGAATGCCTGATACCTATTGCTTTACTGTTCTATTAAAAATAAGTATCATTTTAGCATCAGATCAAAAGCATTTAAAAGTATAGATTTTTTTGCTGCCCTCATCAACAGCATAAAAAGATATATATATATATAGGACAGTAATATATTAGACAAAAATAGTAATTTGTATTGCATATATTAGAGGTGATCTTGAACTTATTTCATATTTACTGGGTAATATGTTTCTGCTTTTATAAGCTGCTCATCCTGTATTTTGCTCATTTTTCCATCACTGGGAGAGAGATAGGAAGTAAAAGTAATTGATTTATCCCTTTTCCCCAGAAACTACAAGAGCTCTTTAAAATAAAGGATATGAAATTTTGGTCTGCTGTACATATTGCAAACTTGTTTCCTGATTTATAATGTGTCACTAACTTTCACATACTCATATCAATCTCTTTATAATTTCTGCCTTTATTATTATGTTCACATTGATCTTCCCTATCTTAAGTAAAATATTCACCTAGATTTCTTTTAATTGATCTAATTTCTTTCTGTCTTTTACATTTAATTATCTAATATGAAATTAAGATGAAAATAGAACATAAACTTAATCTTTGTTTTTATGGTTAGCTCTCTTTCTAAACAATACACTTTTCCTCACTGAAATGATACCTTTATTGTATATAAATTACCCACATAAAATTTGTCTCCTGGACTTGCTATCCTATTCCACTAACTTTAGTACTTGTTGTTGTTGTTAAGTGCCATCGAGTCGGTTCCGACCCATAGCGACCCTGTACAGGGTTTCCGAGGGTGTAAATATTTATGGGAGTAGAAAGCCTCATCTTTCTCCTGCGGAGCAGCTGGTAGTTTCGAACCGCTGACCTTAAGATTCGCAGCCCGATTCGTAACCACTACGCTACCAGAGCTCCTTAACTTTAGTACTAAGCAAGTATTTTTATATAAGCAAGTATTTTTATACAAGATAATGTAAGTTTGCTATCACTATTCTTCTTGCTGAAACAGTCTAATAGCTTTTCATTAATCAAATTAATGATTTATGTAAATTTGATAGCTAACGATATTAAGGTTTCAGGAACCTCATCTTATTTTAAAACTTACTAATGTTTTGTACTTTTCTTTATGTAAACAATATTTAATACATGCTAGTTTATTTCTAGTTATTTTATATTCCATAAATTTTGTCCACATTACAACCATATTATTAAAAATTCTAGCTTCATTTTCTTAGTATTCTAGGTGGTGGTGTGTGCTGTGGAAATGGTTCTGACTCATAGCAACCCTGTGTATGGGTTCCAACTATACCACAAGGGTTCCTTTAGTATTCTAGGTAGACAATCATATTATCATCAAATAATATTAACTACATTTCTTCATTTGAGTATTTATACTGTATTTGTTTTTAATATCCATGTTGGCTAAAATTTCTTTAGCACTGTAAAACAGGATTAATGGGGCATATTTTAATTTCTTTTTCATGGGATACCCAAGTATAGTTTTAGATAGATATATATATACACTTCATCATGTTAATAATGAATAATATATTTATACTTAGCTTACTACAAGTTAAAAAAAATTTTTAAAGCAACAAAGAATCCTAAAATTTAGCATATGATTTTATGACATCTGGTAAACTAATGATTTTGCTTCGGTAACCTACTAGTGAAATTAATTTCATAATCAGAGTTCATAAACAGCTGAACTAGCATTATTCTTAGAATAGTAGTTCTTTAGTTACAGTGCATTATTTTCTGGATGAGTGACAAATTTTATTTACTGTTTTTTTTATGTAAGTAGTCCTGGTGGTGCTGTAGGATAAGCACTGGACTGCTTGCCACAGGCTGGCAATTCAAAACTACTTTGTTCCACAAGAGAAAGATGAAGCTGTTAGCACCTGTAAAGATTTACAGTCTCAGAAACCTTACACGGGGTCGCTATGCAACAGAATCGGCTTGATGGCAGTGGATTGGGTTGGGTTTAGGAGACTTTTAGCTAGAACTTGTATAAATCAGATTCTATGTAAATAAGACCAACATAGGCAAATTTCTTTTATTTATTTGCAATTTTGTCGGGGTTTGATGATCAAAATCATAAAATGAACTGAAAAGCTCTGCCCTGTTTTCTAGGCTCCGTCTTATTAAAAAGTTTGATCATTTTGAGTTTTATAATACTCACACCCCTCATTTTAACTATAGTAACTTCTAGTCTGAAGATCCAGCTATTAGCTCATGAAAAGCTTTCCCTGTAGTTAGTAGGGAACCCTGGTAGTATCATGGATTACAAATTGAGCTGTTAATGACAAAGTCAGCAGTTGAAGTCTTCCAGCTGCTCTGAGGAAAAATAAGAGGTTTTCTGTTGGAATCAACACCATAGAACACAACAACCACTAACCACAATACATAGTAGTACGTATTATAAAGCTACATTAGGAGGGACAGAGGTAAACAGTGATGCATGCTCAACCTTGGAACAACAGGTGTCTGTGATACAGTGATCAAGGCCTAGTTTGAACAGGGGAAATAATACTAAGATGCTTGACTCTCTTATGTATATTGGTTTCCCTTGCCTACTATTGTAAAATTGAAACTTGAGTTGGATAGAAAGGAATGTCAAGAAACATGATTACAGAAAGCTTGTAAGCCCGTCTTCCGCCTATAACTGATTGGAATACCTAAAAGGGGTTCTAGAAATTGCCCAGTGAGATAGGCCTCCTGAAGAGCCTTTGCAGTGTATAGGACCTTAGGTGGAATCCTGAGCCCTCTCCAGAACCTTCTGAGGTGGGACATTCCCACTAGAAAGGACAAGCAGACCAACCTGGAAGAGCTCGAGTGACAGAATATATATGTTCAAAGAAAAATCATCAGGAAAAACCCAAAACAAAAATGGCAGTATGACTGGCTACTATAAGAATAAGCAAGTTGTTCACCAGGAAGCCATCAAGGCAAACAATCAAGTTCCTTCAGGACAACCCCCCATCTAAGACTGAAACTCAAAGGGAACACATGAGCAGACAGGTAAGCCTGCTGGTGCCCATGCTGGTCTACTGGTAAGTAGAAGAAAGGGAAAGGCAGCAATGAAGAAATGAGCTGAGTTCAACCACGTTCCACAGACTCGTGTGAACCTGGAGATGAGAGAGAAAAGAAAAGCTGGTTGGTTCAATAATATGGTGAGACCTGGAGATACCTAAGCCTATGGACAGGGACATAGCCACAGAGGTCTAGAGCTGAGAGTAAAGCAACCAGCTGATGTGAAGTGAGAGGGGTCTCACAAAAACACCCAAAGTTGCAGATATTACCCATTTGACTTAGCCTTGATGGCTTGATAATCAGAACTCAACTAGCGTAAGATAAAAAAAAAAAAGAATAAATTTTGATACAGGAAATGAGGGTAAATTGCTGTAATTTGATGAACTTGACCTACACTTATGGAGGTAGTAACTCTAAATACCAACAGAGAGGGAAGGAGTCTATAACAGGGTTGATAGAGATGGGCAACTTAGACATTGGCTACCTAAAATGAGGGGATGATAAAGGCACAAAGTGACTGGCTTACAAGGGTTCAAGGGGGAGCTTAGTTTGATAGCGTGTGGGGAAAGAAAGAGTCCCCACTGAATAGTTTTCCTCTTGTCTAGATGGGTCTGGTTAAAAGAGATGGGGATAAGATTTTTATGATTCAATAATGAGTAATTGTTATCTTGACTAATTGCGACTCTCACAATTGTAAAGGTAGAAGTTTTATAACAAAAATAGGAGAAAAGAAAAAAAAAACAAAAAACAGGGGAGTGGTTAATCTTACAGTACAGAAACAAAGGACCCTAGGGTCATCAAAGGAGAAGAGCACAAGCAGAATGAGAGACCTTATCCAGAGAAGCAGTGATACAAAGGTGGAGGCAGAGAAAGGGACATGAAGAAAGGGAGCAGCTGAGGGCTCTAGATTCATGGAAAGTGAGGGACTAAGAGATGGCAGCCAGGAGGCAGACTTGCAGAATGTGCCCTTTAGCATTATATATGCCTGAGTGTTGTTGTTTTTTTAAAAAAAAAAAAGCTAAAGTGAATAGAGAGAAACACTGGTAACTGATGGCACATGGAGGGGATTATAATCATTTTAATGAAACTAGGTATATGATTTGCTGAATGTAAAACTGATGATCTGTCCTGTAAACTTTTACTCAATCCACAATAAAAACCTTAAATATTAAAAAAAATAAAGCTACATAGGATAATTCTGGCATGAGAATAAAAACAGATCAAGGAAACAAAAATAATGAGTACTGTATTTTGCATAGTAAAAGTTATATTTTGTATAGTAAGAGTTGTATTTTGCATAGTAAGAGTATAGTAAGTTGTACTTTGTATAGTAAGAGTATTTATCAATCAGGAAGGAAAGGTGGAGTAACTATTTAAAAAATAATGATCTCTATCTCCCATCAAACATCAAATGAATTTCAGGTGGGCTAATTGAAGGAAAAAACCCCTGTAACTTCTTTACATCACAAATGTTAAATAAATGATGTACATTCACACAGGAGTACTATGCAGTTACATAATAGAATGAGGAAAATTCTGTATGTTGCTAAAAAGTAATCTCTGCAATATATTTTTAAGTAGAAAACAGCAAGACACCAAAAAATCTGTATCATAAACTAAAGTTTATCTTGGGAGGTGGAGACACATATGCACGCATGTATATTTGCTTTTGTTTTAAAAGAATGATACAAAACCTAAGAACTAATAGAAATGGTCCTACTGAAAAGATACTGAAAAGAAAGGACAGGAACTGGGGGGAAACAAACAGGAAAGAAGTTAAGACTTCTTTAAATATATCACTTTAGAGTTGACAATGCATCCACTCAAATGTTTTACATAATTATAAAACAAAACAATAATAAATAAACCCAAGTGTTTACAATGCTGGTAACTTAAAACCAAAGAGAATTTGTTCATGTGAAAGGAAACAGTAATTTAATTGCATATACATAGTGGAATAGAGCCTTAAGCAAAAGAAATTACACAGAAATCTTAGTGCTTTCAGCAATCATACTGTTTCTATTGGTATTAGTTTGAAATTATAAATGTTATACTACATGTATATATATTATATATATATATAATATGAAAATGCTATACATAATAAGGTAAATAATGTCTTCAGGAACTAAGATTTTTCACTGCAGAATAAAAGTAAAACAGTATAAAGTCAATAAAGGAAAAAATGCTATAATCCTATATTTTGAATGTAAAAGGTTAGTATGAATTGTTGTTGGGCTGTCGAGTCAATTCCAACCCATAGCGACCCTGTATAGGGTTTCCAAGGAGCAGCTAGTGAGCTTGCACCACCAACCCTAACCTTGCAGTTCAAACAACTTTGTAGTCTGATGCAGTAGCCCACAGTGCCACACCAGGACTCCATGACGCCACACCAGGATGTATTTTTAAGTTAAAAACAAAAAAACACAATTCTTAGCTCTGTCCATTAAAAAGCCCTGAAAACAATGACAAATTCTAGTAAAAAGACTCATCTCTGACTACCTTTTCCTACTGAAAAGATACTAGGAATCCTTGAAGAAATGGCTACTTCCAGGTCTAGGAAAGAAAATATTCAAGATGAGATAAGAACATCTTTGCTTATTTGCTTTCCATTACAACTACTGGGGCCATGCCAAAAGGACAGAGGAACCAACATGACGGAGATCCTACTGACCAAAGATGGAACAGTCTGAAGAAGAACAGACTTAAACACAGTACACATCAAATATGTTCTTAATGATATTAAAAACACCAACTGCAACAATCATTGGTCACCATAAGATGAACACCAGAAAATGATCTAATTATTCTGAAAAGTGATAAGGGGGCAAAATCAAACATTTATCTTGCCTTTCCTGCACAAACTGTACCTGAAGATAGTTAATAGAAAAAATTTTTTCTTTGTAGAATTCTAGCTAAAAATTTTTTTAGCTAGAATTAGAAAAACTGTGAAGTACTGTAGGATAAGTAAGGTTGGCAGTTCAAACCTACTAACACATACAGGGTTGCTGTAAGTTGGAACTGACTGGACAGTACTAACAGTAGTAACAGTGAATTAATAGAGAACCATGATCAGTAATGGCTACTAAATCCTTACTTAAAGGCTCTGAAAGAGCTTTCTAATGAATGATAAGACCAATAATACCTGAAGTCACTGGTCAATATTAACATGATAACTGAAAGAAAAACAGATAGTATATGTTCCTTGATGTGAAGCAGTAACAAGTCTATATCACCAACTATGAAATACTATTGTAAAAAAGAACCTGAATCTGATCAAGCCTCTAGATCTGTGCTTTCTAATAAGGTAGCCCCAGTTGCTACTGAAACAAATTAAGAAACACTGTTAGGATTAAATTTTTAACTTTTTATAGAATTAAAAATTTTTTTCTTTCCTTTTCAACTGCCTTCTTTTGTCACGTAAGTTAGCATGTGTCTACATTCCGCCCAGTGAAAAATTCTTCCTTCCTTCCCACCCGATTGTTGTTAAGTGCTGTCAAGTCAGTTCCAATCCACAGCAACCCTGTATAGGGTTTCCGAAAAGTGGCTGGTAGGCTTGAACCATCAAATTGGCAGTTCAAATGACTTTGCAGTCCAGTGAATTAACCTACAGCGCCACACCAGGACTCCCCTACCCCTGGTAACCATCATAAATGTTTATTACTGTATAAAAACCTTTTCTTGACTTTTTACAGTAGTGTTCTCATTCAATATCTGTCCCCCTGCAACTGACTAATTTAGAAGGTAAAATCCAATGCTCAATAGTCACATGTGACTAAGTATTGCTGTACTGTAGAACAGATATAAAACATTTTCATCACCACAAAAATTCTACTGGGCAGTGATGCCCTAGATGAAATGACCAGTTCACAAGAAATTATGAGGAATAAAGGAACATATTATAAGACATCACAGGGATGCAGTTACATTCTCAAATTCTCTGGAATATGAAAAATGTTCTAAGACAAAGGAACCAGTAATAATTCAGCATTTTCTACACTAAGCATATACTACCTATAAATCAGAAAACAATTTTGTTTTTGATGTTCTCCATTTCAAAGACAGAAGAGTCATTCTGAAGCCTCCCACTCACCTCAGAAGAGGCCCGGATGATCCCTGAGATGAGGCTGCACAGCTGGTTGCCTCGGGTTCGGAAGGCAGACAGGTCTATCTTAAGCAGGTCTTTGTGATGGCTGGAGGAGTCCAGCTGCTGGTTGAGGTGCAACATCTCCTCCTGCAGTACATAGAGGTTCCGCAGGCGGATCTGGCCTTCTTCCTTCTGAATCCGCTCCTGCTCCACTTGCTTCAGGCGCTGCTGCTCCGCCTCTCGAAGTTTCAGGTTCAGAATCTACAGAAAGGGCCTCTAAGTTACCTTTTTCAAGGAGCTACTGGGCTTTCTCTGTCTACATTCTTCAATCCTTACATAGGCTAGATAGTTTCCCCAAAGTTGGAAAAGGACTCTCAAAGCAGTCGCACAGAAAAATATACGCCAAACTCTTCAGAACATGACTCTTCAGGTAGTTTACAAACAAGCAGCAAACTGATACCCACATTGATCTCGCTAGGCTGACCTTTGCTCTGTGTCGATGCTCAGCTTTTAGCTTCTCCTGGTGTCCTAGGGCTTCTCTGGTACTAAATGAAAAATGGAAGGAATAGTCAGAGATGCTTCCCAGGTGTGGTGATATAGGATAAGCACTGGGCTGCAAGGTCAGATTGAGCCACAAGGCTGGTGGTTCAAATCTACCAATTGCTCCTCAGAAACCCTACACAGGTTCCCTATGAGTTGATACTTAACAGTAACAACAGCAACAGCTTCACTTCCTTGTTTACACTGATTACCTTTCCAAGGCTGGTCATTTTTCTCGGTAATAAGCTTCTCTGGCTATTTATTAAGGACTCAGAAGAATTTCAGTTGTCCACACCAACATTCCCAGTCATAATTCAGAGACTTACCTCTTCTCCATGATTTCCCGTAAGTCCTGGAATTCTTTATGCTGCTTCAATTCCTTCCGTTCATCAAACCGCTTCAGTTGTTCAGATGCTGTCTCAGAGAGGGCTCGAACCTTTCTCTCCTGTTCCTCTTGCCATTGCCTCAGGCCCTCCTACAAAGAATCAGCACATGCTCTTGGAGGTACCTTGCTCATTTACCTTTGTGGTTCACCCTTCCAGCAGTCCTTAACAACATCAAAGGTACTCAAGGACAAGAAATCATCTGTTCCTACCTCGGAACCTTTGAGTTGACCTTTAAATTCAAACTCTACTCTTTAGGGAAACTTTCTCAACTTACACATTATAGTTTATATTACTTTAGTATAAGGTGGAATAGTCCTAATTCCCAGAACCTGGGAATATGCTAACATTACATGGCAAAAGGGATTTTGCAGATGTGATCAAGAATTCTGAGATAGGGAAGTTATCCTACATTACCTGCACAGGCCCAAAGTAATTGCAAGGATGGTTTTCTACTGCCACTAGCAGAAACTCAGTGCCCCCTAAACAGTGACTCCCCTCTCCCTTGGTAAAGACTAATACACTTTGGTCTTTCTCTATTTGTCCTTTTAGTTTATGCCACTCAGCTTAATTAAAAATAATTATTTTCTTGTTGAAGTCTTTTTCTCCCCACAAGAGTATAGGCTCCATGAAAGTATGGACTTGTGTTTACTTTGGTCACTGTTTTATTTATAGCATGTAGGACAGTGTCTAGCACAGAGGTGTTCAATGTATATTAAAAAAAAATACAAATATAAACAAATCAATGAATGAGGAAATGAGGGACGATACTCGAAGACTTTCATATTACAAACTCTTGAATGTTTTGAAGCAGGTATTTTTATAAAAAGCATGTAATGTTTCTCATTAATAAAAACTAAACCTCATAAATTCATTAAAATGCTATTATTTTTTACAAAATCTGTTAAGACCCCATATTTTCAGTACAACCTTATCTGACAATACAATCGCATCTTGACTGCACTCTAAACTGAACTCCTACAGCCACCCCTCAGCAGGCATTTAAAAGTTTTTAATGTATATGTCCTGCTTTCACAGTTGGCTGTGAGCAGACTACCAGCAAGGGAGGACATTCAGTACTGTGTTATAATTCTATTTCCCCAATGAACAGATCACATCTGAAACTAGTGGTCTTTATCATGAGGGACTTCAAGATATGCTGCTAATGTAAAACCAAGAAATCTTTTCAGAATAAAGTAAATGTTTTGACAGCAGAGATTTTTGTCTGTCTTATTCACAATTCTATCCCCATAGCCAAGAATAGAAGCCAACATATAGCAAGCATTCAAATATTAAAAATCAAGTCCTGCAACAGGTGCTTTATATACATTATCTCATCTAATTTTCTGATAATGTTATTTATCATCAAGTAAATGGAAGCCAGGAAAGGCGAAGCAATTTCCCCAAAGTCATACATAAAATAGAAAAATCAGGATTTGAAAGCAGATATGACTTTAGTGTTTACTCTTTAACATGACATTATATTACCTTTCTGACTGAATTGTCAGTTCTTTGTAGACAAAGCATAACAATTAGCAAAAGGTGTGCTTTCATAAACACTAGGGAACTGCATTAAAATATGGGTCTCCAGGGTTAAGCCTGCCTTACTTCATGGTTTACTTACTATTCCTTTCATTCTATGTACCAACTCATACATTCGGATGCAGCCTTCCACTTTGACTCCCCGGGAGGACTGAAGTAGCATATATTCCATATTTTGGGATTCATGTTTGCTCTAAAAATACAGAAGGAAAAAAAAAATTACAGAAGATAGAAAAATAATTAAGCTCTTATGGTGTTAAAGTTATTATCAGCCCTATAGACAAAGACACTATCCTACTTAGGACCAACAAGACAATTTAGGCTAGAACCAATGTGTGTTTCATGACAGTGACTCTATTCTAATTGTATTCTTTAGTAAATCAACATTTGTTGCTTTGGATGTTTTGTTTTTGCTTATTTGCAGGCTTGCTTGTTTCATCCTTCCCAGTGTATCTTTCTCCTTTCTTTTGATGCTGTTGTTGCTGACTGGTGCCATCAAGTCTGTTCCAACTCATAGCAACCCTTTGTAGGTTTACTAAGAGTGTCTGGTAGATTTGAACCGCCAACCTTGCAATTCACACTGATTTTGAGGTCCAGTAATCATCCTAAAGTGCTACACCAGGACTCCTGGGGTGGTTTAGATGGAGCCAACACCAACCCACATCCCAATTCTACTATCCTCCTGCCTCAAGGGTAAGCACATAACCCATCTGGTAATCAAAGTACTCTATCCCATTTTACCTAAAATCTACTTCAGGAAAGTAGTGTATACGACCCAGGCTATCCTTGAACTTTATTTTAAATTGTGAATTGAGTGTAGGTTTATGGAGATCATCAGTGTTACAATCAACAAAGCATACACTTTGTTTCATCTCAAGGACTGTAATCCCTCCATGCAACAAATTATCCCACTTCCTCCCTGTGGTTCTTATTTCCACTCTACCCTCTTTTATCCCTTCTCAACTTTGTTCTTAAGTAAATGTTGCCCTTTTGATCTTGAATGGTTGACTGTTGCACCATGAACATACTTTACTAGTGTTGTCAACGGTATATTCCTATTTACTACTTGGCTGAAAACTGGGCCACGAGGGTGAATTCCATTCCAGCGGACCTGAAGGGAAGTTGAGTCACAGACTCAGGTTCCTCTAGTCTGACCAGTAAGTCAGGTCTTTTTTAATAATTTTGAGTTTTGTTCCACATTTCCTCCCATTCTACCTGGGACACTGTAATGTGATCCTTCTCAAAGCAGTTGGTAGTGGCAGCCAGGCACCATCTAGTTCTTTTGGTCTCAGAGTTGTGGTGACTGATGTTCACAAGTTACATTGGTCCACTGGACTAATTGATTCCAAGCAACTTCAATTTTCATCACTCTTCTTTCTTCCACTCATGGAGCTACCAATACCAATAGTTGCACCTTAGATAGCTACTCATGAGCTTTGAAAATCCCAGACACTACTCACCAAAGTACGATATAGAACACTGTCTTTGTGGACTATGTTATGCCAATAGACCATGGTGTCCTCTGAGATTATGGATCTAAGTCTCCAGGCCCAACTCATTTCCTCAAGGTGTTTGGTAACATCTAAGAAGTTTCCTCATTTTGCCCCCCGTTATGTTCCACCATGCGACCAGACAGCACTCAACAACAACAATGTTCTACCACGAAGTCCTGGTGTGGAGCTGTAGGATAAGCACTGGATAGCTAACCAAAAGGCTGTCAGTTCAAATCCCCCAGTCACTCCTTGGAACTGACGTGATGGCAATTTAACAACAATATGCTCTACCCCATTCATAAGTGTGTTTTCAGCAAAGGTAAATATCCATGTACAAATATCCTCTGCCAAATTCTTACATATTTGTGGGCACACGCCCACTCTCCCTCCCATACCCATTTAGCCTGTGTACCTACCTGCAGAACATTGTTATTCCAGAATTAGGCATATAACACTATTTATCTCTATCCCCTTTAAATCCTGCATAGCTTTTAGTGTCTTCACTTGTCTTCATCATTCTTCTGTCAACCTCCCTCTTCTGGTTTATTGCCCTCCCAGTTACCCAAGTTAACTTATGTCTACCCTCTGTTGTTGTTAAGTGCCATTGAGTTGGTTCCAAATCATAGATACCCTGTATAGAGTTTCCAAGGAGTGGCTGGTGTGTGTGAACTGCCAACCTTGTGGTTCAAACTGACCTTTTGGTCCAGTGCTTTACCCACAGTGCCATGCCAGGACGCCAACACTCCAACCCAAGTTAACATGTGTCTACCCCATAGTAGGAGTCCTAATGTGGCCCTGTGGGTTAATGCGCCAGACTGCAAAACCATCTGAACTGCAAGGATGGCGGTTCAAGCTTACCAGCTACTCCTCGGAAACCCTATACCGGGGTTGCTATGGATCAAAACCGACTCAACGGCACTTCACAACAACAACAACAAACCCCCTAGTAGGAGCTCTGGTAGCGTACTGGTTATGAATCGGGCTGCTAATCTCAAGGTCAGCAATTTGAAACTACCAGGGGTTCCATGGGAGAAAGATGAGGCATTCTGCTCCCATAAAGATTTACAGCCTCGGAAACCCTATGCAGTATGGGTTGGAATCAACTCGACAACCCCCTACTTGGTGAATTACTCTCCCTTCTTCCCCATCCTTGAACTTTTATGATGGGACTACCTGGGAATGCTTTCTCTTCTTCTGGAGATCCTAACCTAAGAGGCTGTTTCTAGGGCTACCTATCAACATTCATATTGTCACATAGAGTCAATCTAAAAAGTGAAACCAAGAAAAGAGGTAGGCAGAGTGGAGGGATGGAAAGAGACAAAGAATAAAAAAAAAAAAAGCTCTGTGTATAAGTTGTGGGAACAAGTCAGAAATAATGCCAAGCAGAGACAAGTCAAATGTAGATCTTTTAGATCTAACTTTGCCTGATGCCCAACATACTCCTAGACTTCCTAGTTATAGAAACCAATTAATTCCTCCCTCACCCGCCTTTGTTAGCGTCAGCTAGTTTAAACTGGGTTTAATTAAAACACCAAAAGTTCCTAAATTATATAATAATACATTATATAAAACCACCATCCAAATAATTTATCCAAAACAGGAGAATTATTGAAGTTTATGCCTGGATAGAACTTCTGCACTTTAGTTTAGCTATCAAATATACAGATAAAGAAACTGCAGCTCATGAGGTAAAGAGGCCTGTCTGAGGGCATGCCACACAATACTGGCAAGATCAGAACTAGAATCTGGGCCCCTTTTTCACACTCTGTTGTATCTGAGAGACTGCTGATAGAAGCTTTTTATTTTGAAAGAATTATAAATTCATAGGAAATTGAAAATAATTTAAAAATACAGGAGTGTGTTATGTATTATCCTAGTTTTCTCCAATAATAAACATCTTTCGTAAAATATCAAACACAGTAAACCAACATTAGTGTAATTCACATCTGAAGTTTATTCAGATTTCACCAGTTTTACACATAATCACCTGTGTGTATGTATGCTATTGTTGTTAGCTGAGTCTGTTCTGATACATAGCGATCTCACGTATAATAATGAAACACTGTATGTATAGAGTTCTATGCAATTTTATCACCATGTGTGGAACCACGTAAACCACTTCGATCAAGATGAAAAACTGTTCCATCACCAAAAGGCTCCCTCATGCCATCTCTTTATAGCCACACCCACCTTCTCCCCACCATCCATAATCCCTGGCAACTACTTACCTGTTCTTCATCTCTGTAACTCTGCCGTTTCAAGGAAGTTAAATAACTGAATCATACAGCATATAATTATTTGAGATTAGCCCTGTTGGCAAAGTGATTTAGCACTTGGTCACTTTACCAAAAGGTTGGGGTTTTGAACCACCAGCTACTCTGATGAAGAAAGATGTGGCTGGCTGTCTGCTTCTGTAAGGAACACAGCCTTAAATACCTTTTGGGGCCACAAACAGAACCACCCCATTCTGCAGTGGAGTCAGTGAATGATGGGAATGAGATCTGGTACAACTCCAAGAGATGAAACAAGCTGTAAGGGGTCGTACACATGATGGCACCATAGCCTACCCAGGCTCACCAGCGCTCTATCATAGCAAGTTCGCCCATATCTTTCCTTACCAAGTTGAAAATTTTACCGCAATCTTATCAACTGGAACAACGACAACAAAAAACCCCTATGGGGCAATTCTACTCTTACCTATGGGCTCAGTATGAGACAGAATAGTTTCAATAGCATCAAGTTTGGTTTATTTTTTCAACTTTGTAATCATATTTATTTATAATGAAAAAAAAGATTTCCTAACCCAGAGCCGCAACAAATGAGTAAAAAAAATGTTCTTAAACAAAAAACAAAACTACATTTAATAATGAATTTCAACTTCTCAGACATAACTAAGTATCTTTCAAGAATGGTTTTCTGGATTAGAAGGTTTAGGACTTTAGTCTCATGGGACAGCTCAGCCAATTGGCAACACAAAATTCATGTTCTGTATTCTAGTGAGGTGAGTAGTGTCTGGAGCATTAAAAGTTGTGAGCAGCTATTTAAGATACAATTTGGTCTCTACTCATCAGGAGCAAAAGAAAAAGAAGGAAAACAGACTCAGAGAAAAAACTAGGCTATAGCGTCAACAGCCCACAGCAAATAGTGCATACCACTACTGACGTTTCTAATCAGGGCCACATAGAACAAGAGAAAAATGCAGAACAAACTCAAATTGTTAAAAAGTTCACACTTACTCAGTTGAGACTAGGGGACTCCCTGAGACTATCTCCCTGAAATACTCTTTAAACTTTGACCTGAAACTATTTCCTGAAGTAATCTTTTAGCAAAATAACAAAATGATATGCAAAATAAAGGATATTATCCAAGAACATGGTGTTCCGTTTAAAAAAAAAAAAGTGAGCCGCTGGTCACAGCAGCTCTTGGTGCAGAGGCAGTGATTCAAGGACCAAGACCAGAGGGCGCTGGCCACTGCCCGCAGTTCTGCGGGTCTCTGCACCAAACCCACCCTGCCCCACTCCGTGCTCCTCTGCCGCCTCTTCCAGAGATCCAGCTTGCAGAGAGACCGCCACTGCCACCACGCTAGATTCCAGTTGTGGCCAGCCTCTGCCGTCCAGGGCAGAGGTTCCAGGACTACGGCTCCCCACCAGACTTGGCCTCATGTCCAAGAAGAGTGTGGAGGCAGCAGCCCAAGTTAAGC